CCTCATGTTTACTTACAAGTAATAAAGAAAGAAAATGTAAAATAAAGGCATCGATAACAAAGAAAGCTATAACCAGAAACCACTGTGGCTTCTACAGAAAGCACTGAATATGAGTCACATCCACAAAGCAGTCCACATGTTAAAGTAGTGAAGCATGAAGCCAGGGTGTCTTTTCTTTCATTGTTATCGACCTTTACAGAATTATGTGGTTTTCAGTTGGTCTCAGTCTTCAATTAATATTTTTTTCTGTTTGAAGCAGAAAATCTTCTTTTTTTGAGTGTTTTCAGCATTTTAAACTACTTTCACCATGACAACAAATGCTGCAGACCTAATCTTCGTGTCAGTGATGAATAGGTCCAAACCCACCCCTCACTGATCAATCAGTACTTCAGAAACCAGATCTGTAAGATTCCACAGACCACATGGAGCAGACACAAATGGTCTTCATTGTACATTGATGGGCAAGGAAGCAAGAAATCGAGCAAGAAACAACTTTATTCCAGCATTTTTAAAATCTTATGGCTTAAATCCTAAACCTGGTTAGAAAACAATGCAAAGGCTGGCTTCCTAACTTGTTTTTATTGGAGACTCTGTCTCCTGAATTTGTTCTTTACTTAATATTATTAAAGATATTTATTGATAAAAAATAATTGCTGAGTGTCCTGAACAATGACCCGGCCCTTCAGAAAAATAACTCCTTAACTCTTAGTTACGTTTTTGTTATTTTTTTGAGACTTCTACACCATTTTTAAGGAAATAGACTTTAAAAAAATACCAGACGCTAGCAAATATAATAAAAATTCAAATATGCAAATTAATATAGATTTGTTTTATTTTAAATTCTGTTAGTAGGTTAAATAAACACTCCATTTTCAAAAAAAAAAAAAATCATGTTTCAAGTTTTAAAATGATGAAGCGGGCAGTATCAACACACATGGAACTCACCTGGCAAAGAAAAGGCCAGAGAGCCAATGAGGACGCAGGAGACGATCCACATTTCAGTGCTGAGCTGCTGCTGAGGTTGTGATCAGTGTCTGCACGATAGAGGAGGACTGAGTAAATCGGGCTTAGACTCTGTATTTACAAAACACCCAGAGCTCACTTTTAGTCTGCAAACAGCTGTGAGGGAGGAGCCAGTTTATTAGGAACACCTCTTTCACTCATTGCACTCAGATGCAGGCCTGGGGTCAGCTGTTGCCTGCTGTGAGTGAAGAAATGATGCTAAACTTTTTTACTCTGTTTTGTTTTTGACACTTTCAATAATTCTGCAGCGCTCTGAAAGAACACTTAGATCAAAGAACTGATAATATTTGGGTATATAAATGTGCATATATAATATTCTGTGCTTCAAGACATCACTTAAACAAATATTAAAGAAAAGTGATAGTCCCTGTTTATATTTCATTATATTATATTTTTTAAGGAATGATCCACCCTGCATGACTGCCAATGTTTTGCATGCAGGGCCAACACAAATGATGGTTACCCATGTGCAGGTAACATATGCAGTACATTAAACTCTTAATCACAGATTCCACCAAAAAATTTATCCGGATCAGGAGAAGTGTGTTCTAGATCCAGCAACAACATGAAGAAGAGCTGCAGTGTGTGTGTCCAGAATGTGCAGGAAGACACAGCATGCATATAACAAGTGCAAGAAGTACAGATGCAACACACATAGAAGAAATGTGTTATACAGTCAGCATGAATAGATTGAATAGATTATTCTTCTATTTATGTTTGCCAAGGATAAACATAAACAAAGTCAGAGTGCTGCCCCCTGCTGGCTGTATTTATCCAACCTTTTCATCCACAGTCAGTTCAGTCAGCCTCTGATTCTGATTGGTTACAGCACTGCAATCCAGCTGAACCTGTCCCAAAGAAAGCAAAACACACACTGCGCCATGTTAAAGTAACTGCAGATGAAAACACCGGCACAGTCTACCTTTAACTCCCAGAGGAAACAGCATGACCTGAATCCCCTTATATTTGAAGTACAAATGGTCATAAAACATGTATTTTATCAGTATTAGAGAAGTAGAAGAAGGATTAGAAAACATAGACTCTGTTATGGGGTTGCTTAAATGTGTGAGAGTCTATTTGAATTCTGTTTGATTCATTTAATTTTATCAGCTAATGAAATGTTCAGCGTGAGAGTGAAGACCTTCAAATTCCTCGGCACCAACATCCTCATTGAGCATCTCACATGGACCCATAACACACAGCAGATCATCAACGACTCTTCTTCCTAAAAAAGCTGAGAAAATTTTGGATTTAACAAGTGCTACAAAGCACTTGTTTTATTATTTTCTATGCTCAGAGTTAAGTTTACTTTGGGTTTAGTTGTTATTTATTATTTATTTAGTTTTGTGAAGGGAACTGGCAAAGCAAGATTTTCATTGCTCTGCGTAACCACTTGTGTTTTTGGTGTATATGACAATAAAGCTTGTGAATCTTGAAGAAATCACAATAAAAATGTAATGATGTCAGCTATGGATCTTTGTTTTGATTAATTACATGATGCGATGACCTCTGCCCTTTACTCAGCCTTCCTTCTGCACGTGTTCTGGGTTACTGGTGGGTGGAGCGAGACCCATCAGCCTTGCTGGGTGCCGGGAGTAGCAGACAGAGCCACAAACTGCCAGTCTCATTAGGTCTGTGACTCAGTATTTTCTAGTTCTGGACATTGTGGTGTTCGTTTTAAAAAATTATTAGGCTATAATTCTTAGGTTCCTGGTTATTCATTTGCCAAGTTCAAAGTGTGTTTCTGTTAGCCTTGTGTTCTTAGTGACCTTAGTTGTCTAATCTTCTCCTATATTTAGTCAGTCTTGTCCCTGTGTTTACTCTTGTCTCCCCAGTTTCTTTGTCCAGCTTGCCTGTCAGAGTCTCTGTCAGTGTGTTTCCAGTCTTATTTTGATTGTCTCTTGTCCTGTATGCACTTTGTTCAGGTTCGCTTCCCCTTTGTCGTTATGTCTGATTTGTGTCTCCTGTGTTTCTACTTTTCCCATCCTGTCGTTATCATGTGTATATTTAAGTCCTCAGTCTCCCTCTGCTTGTTACTTTCATGTTCTCTTGTTTATGCCAAGTTCCTTGCTTACAAGAGTCCTTGTTTCTAGTTTATCTTTTGTTTGCTTCTTTTAGTGTTTCTTTGTACTTTATTTTTTAGTTCCGTTTCACAGCAAATAGAGCTGTTGCTTAAGTTATTTACTTCCTCCTATGTGTTCGGGTCCTACCCTTGCCTGCCACACTGACAAACTTGACACCAGTGAGCTTTGATCTGTTGAAAGGCGCATCTAGTGGTCATACTGGTACACATCATAAGTGATGTTTCCTGGGTTCTATGGGTGTTTCGGGCCTCTCAACATTACACGTCCTTACCTAGATGATCCAGCCCTGTCCCAGCAGCTTTACCCAATCACCACCACTTGTAACCCACAGCCAACTGGCAGCTGTCTCTTCTGCTCCTGTTGGAGTCCTGGTGGCTATACTTTTGTATGGTCTCCTCAGAACACCAGACTGAGCTTTACTGCTGGGCTTTGGGGATCAACTAGCCAACAGGATGGAGCCAACCGTGCTTCCACTGGCTAGCTTCCTTTTAAAGTGACTTTGTGTGAAAAGTCACTTTAAAACCATAGTGGAAAAATGCAGCTCAAGTTCAGACACGACTTCATCTCAAGGAGCAGAACAATGAGTCCACTGATAACATGTACACATTCCACTTTTTATTTCTACAGAAGTCTGGTGACACCGCAGTGTTACACTACACTGCAAATATGTTTTTACATGTTACCTGCAGGCCTGTGCACTTCACTCTGCTGCTTCACATCAAACCTGAATGCAGGTTCCTCTGTACCAGCTGCAGTGTTTGTTAAGAAAGTGCAAACAGCCCAAATGAATAAAACAGGACAACAAAACTATTTTTGTAATAATCAGAAATGACAAAGCTATTTTTTAAATAGTGTTTTCATGCTGATTTCAGGTTGTTTTTTTTTTTCATGGTTTTACTGAAACGCAAGCACCAATCAAGAAAATCTTGCATTATCATCAGTACTTAGACAATTAAGCAAACATCATGGCATCTGTTTTAAGCAGCTGCAAAAAAATATGTGTTTTGGCGACAGCGTGCTAGTGAAGGGTCATTCTTAAGTGGCTTAACAAGCAACAACAGCTGAAAATGGTGAGGAAGAATGATTGAAGAACTATTCCTCAAGGCCACTTTAAAACATCACAATAAAGTCTGGCTGCTTGGAGGCAAAATATATAGAGATGACATATGGCTCAAGACAGCAACATAGAGGGTGACAGATATCAGAGGTTTTTAATCACGCAGAGAAACAGTGAAGGGCACATAGTTTGAACATCTTAAAGACATTAAACAACCGATCAATGTAAAACATCTGTTCGTCCTTATGCACTGTTTCTAGATTCTATCAGTGGACACGCCCCCTCGAAGGTTAAATCGTCTGTCATCAAGGAAGTTAAAAGTTTTTCAAGGCTGAAGGAGGAGAGATGTCTGCTGGTACATCTGCGTCACTCTGCTGCGGTTTGCTGTCTGCCTGCGTCTTGCTGGTCTCTGCAGGTGAGTCTGAGCAGGGTCTGGAACAGGAAACCAGTTCATTCCGCAAGTGTGTTTGCAACT